AATTTGAAGAATTATTGTCATTGTCCTCATAAAATATCACAATTTGATCTTCATGTTTACATAATTAATGCGATGTTAATGTTAAATAAATCGCTGGATAATCAAAAATGAGATACAGTTCATTCTATTAGTAAACGATTCAAAGTCACAATAAATAAATCTATCGATAAAATCACTTAATTACCTCAAAATTGTATTCCACATACTGATGGTGTTTTTATTACTTACTTACTTACGCCTGTTACCCCCAATGGAACATAGGCCGCCAACTAACATTCTCCAACTCACTCTGTCCTCAGCCTTCCCTTCTAGTTCTATTCAACTGTTGTTCATTCTTCTTATATCTGTCTCCATTTCTCGATGCAATGTGTTCTTTGGCCCTAAGAATTCTATGTGAGGGCTTGCTATGAGGTGCAATTGGGTGCTTTCGTCAATCTATGTCCTATCCCCTTCCAGTGATTCTTTCTGGTTTCTTCCTCCACTGGAATCTAGTTTGTTCTCTCCAACAGTAGGTTGTTGCTGATTTGTTTCTCTGTTCTTTAAAGTTCGTGATTACCTTGCCTTCCTTGCTTTTCACTGGTCATTCTGGTTTATGATAATTTATAGCGAGTTTCTTTGTTGTGTCATATAGTTGTCTCATGTTTCCTTCTCTTGCAGCCTTTTCCACCGTCGTTGCTAAATCTTCCACATATTTACGTTTGTCGGTCCTGATGCTCCTCTTCACTTGTTTGTTTACTTCTGTGTATTCAGCTTGTGCCTTGGCTTTTTCTGCTCTTGTTCGACTGGTATTGATTGCTGCTTTCTTGTTCCTCCTTTCTTGAATCTTATCCAGTGTATCAACAGTGATCCATTCCTTGTGGTGGCGCTTCTTGTGACCCAGGACCTCACGACATGTTGAAGTGATTGCCATTTTGATCCCCTTCCAGTTGCTCTCCTTAATAGTTCCCTCTACATTGAGTATATCGTGAAAGGCATAGAAACTATTGCTGAGGACTATCTTGAATTTGTTGAGTTTGTTAGTATCCTGAAGAAAAACCGTATTGAACTTTTGTAATGTTGTCCACCCCGTTGTCCAGTGCTTCTTGAGTTTCGATTTCATCTCGGCGACCTGCAATTGATGATCTGATGGTAAATCAGCTTCTCTCTTGTTCCTCACATCCTCCATCGTGCTCCTAAACTTTTTGTTGATGCAGATATAGTCGATTTGGTTTTGCGTAGTGTGATCCGGTGAAATTCATGTGGTTTTGTGTATGTGTTCATTTGGGAATACGATTCTGCCTATGATCAGTTTATTGAAGGCACGTAGGTTAGCAAATCTCTCACCATTTTCGTTTCTTTCTCCCAGTCCGTATCGTCCCATGACGTCTTCATATCCAGTGTTGTCCACTCCAACCTTGGCATTGAAATCTCCCATCAGGATGGTCAGGTCCTTTGTTGGGCACTTCCCGATGATTGACTGCAGCCTATTGTAGAATTGATCTTTAGCGTCTTCATTGTAGTCGTTGGTAGGCGCATAGCATTGGATGATGTTAATTTTAATGCCTTCTTTCTTTGTTTTGATAGAGGCCTTGATGATCCTTGGTCCATGAGATTCCCATCTTATAAGTGCGTTTTGTGCTTGTTTGGATAGCATCAATGCAACTCCTTGTGTATGTGCAGCATTTTCTTCTTCATGGCCAGAGTATAACAGAAGTTCCCCTGAAGCTAGTCTTGAATATTCTTTGTTTTTAACGTAAGAAATGATATGCTTGTATGGTAATCATCTGTTTGAACAGAATATACGTAGTTGTACTTTGCTCTGAGAAATGCCCTCTCTTCTAAGAACTAAATCAAATTGGTTTTCAGTTTGACAGCAAGTGTAAACTGATTAGAAACGAACGAAACTAAGGCAAAATTCAAAGATATGTAAATCAAATTAGTTGCAAATAAGTTAATCATGAGATGATGTTAGTAAGAAATCAATAAATGAAACATTTTAACTAGTCGATAATATAAATTGTACACTGACATTTAGATTTTGCCTAGTTTTGTCCAAGGCTACCTTGGCTCAATGTATTGAAAGTTGGTTGATCACATTAGTGATTGATATATAACTCAACATATTTAGTTATATTGGTTAGTTTATTATCGATTTATTATTGATGCATAATAAATAATTATTAATACTGTTTACTTTCTTTCATCGAGTCATGTAGACACTACGATTAGTTATGTGTAAGAAGTAACAGCTAGTTTTCTTACAGTCATAACAAGTAGCCATATCAGTGTCATGTCAGGTTTTATGACAGAATCTACGTAATAACAGTATATTGTGCTCACTGATTGCAAGCTTCATTGACAGAACAAAAGTAGAGAAAACTATTTCGATAATCTATCGAAATTTTCAGCTTTTGATAAAACGAACTAATGTACATTTTGTTGAGGATAATGTTCAAAAGTAGAACACCTAATATATGAGTTACTTTAATTGGTTGACAATACCTACCAAGTTTCGTAAAGTGTGTTAGGAGGATAAACTTAATCATAGTGTTTATCTTCAAAGTTCTGAAACGTATAAATAACATACAACTGAATTAGTGGATGCTGTTCACTCTTTCACATTACAACAAACACAAGTAGTGATATCAAACAGTTTAAATCATTAATCATTTATTCACTCACATTAATACGTTCTGTCAGTCAGACACAAATCATTTACAAATCTAATTGAAAGACAACTACAAACAGATCCTATCACTTTATTACACAAAATGATGACAATCATTGATTTAATATCAAAAGGCGTTTTTTGTAGATATTATAGTAATATCAATAGTTGAGATCATGTGTCAAGTGAGGCTACACCACCATGGAAAACCTGGAAGTACTGGACTGTCGTCTCATCCTATTGTGGCACTCCTCAGTGGTGCAGAGGTTAAGCGTTTGCATACTAGATCGGTAGATCCTGGGTTCGAATCTCGCGAGTCGAGAGTGTGCGTACGCACTGCTGTGGAGCCTCACAACAGGATGAAACGGCCGTACAGTGCTTACACGTTTTCCATAGTGGTCTAGATTCAATTGACACATGATATCAACTATTTAAATCATTGATTTATGCAACAGTCAACAATGTGAATATAACACATAATCACTATGTACACATGTCCTTAACATGAACTATATTTTCTATCCTCTAATTTAATGGTGAAGAATTCAAACTTGTTAGTTATGATGATAGAATAAACATGAATATTCCAGTAACCTGGAGATTATCGATTATTTTCTCTGCATCCAACCAACTCTTCACCATGATAGATTTGATCAGATTTCTCTGGATGAATAGTTCACTTAATTAGTGTGGGTTAATTTCTAATATGTTTCTATTCACAGAATGTATTTAGAAGAGTTGAAATGGTAAGCTATCACATCTAGTCAAATAACAGTTGAAGTAACTAACTAACTAACTAACTATAATCACCGAATATCATAGTTGATCAGTTGAATACTAACCACTCATTCAATCTCAGTTCGAATGACTGATTCATTGCAATTTCACTCAGTTCATAATTCAGTGTAATTGCACATTGTCACGCTGTTGGCAGATCACATCGCGACTCAGCTCTCTAGTGACATCTCGTACTAAGTCAAATCAACCTCCGAATCAAATTCACTATCCAGTGTTCACACACTGCATTTTCACAAACTACAAACATTCATCCTCTTCATACTGAGCTTGAAATTACTACCGTCTGTCGTCAAGTAGTACACTCACATCCAGTGTTACTCTCGAACCGGATACTGCCAACTGTCAATACTCAACTCGAGGTGGTGAATTCACAGAATTCGATGGTCAATTTAGTGACTGGATTCATATCGATTGTATTTGTGAATGATGTGAATTGAGTAGATGATGTGTTGGTAATTCATTGCACAATACGAGTCACATTGCCTTTCATTTATCATTGTGTACAGATTTGTGAAACTTGGGAATAGGTGATACGGTTAAATAAGTGATACATGATCAGTATATTAAGGAACGCAGACTCATTGTTTTCGATAGTCACGCGGATTCCAACCAAGTAGCCTCCATCTACCAACATGGCTCAGACCACAATTTAGTGACATTACGGACTGATGTCATGTTTTGACTTGACTGCAGCTCACCTTCTTCCAACTACCCCCTACACTAGTCAGGATTGCGCGTCGTAGTGATCAGTGTTCACGTCTTCGTAACACATGGCCTAACTATCTCAGTCGATGAACGTTCACAACCTCATCAACTGATCTACCATCATTCCGGGATACCCAGTGTCTAACCTCACTGTTACATATCCGGTGATCCCAGCAGATGCTGGAAATATTTTAAAGACATCTGTGGTCAAATACTAATAGCTTACGAGTACCTTTTACTCTTAATGGCCACGTTTCGCAGCCGTCAAGTAGAACAGAACGAACGTCTGCACAGTATACTCGTTCCTTAATTGATAGACGGATATCTCGCCTTCTTCATAGGTGATGTTAGTTAGCAAAGGCCAAATGAACTTTCTTCAGACACCAACACATTAAGACTGATCAGATTTCCAAGATAAGCACTCAAGACCTCTGTATTCAACCTCCCTCTTCAATTCCTATTATTCCTCGTACTGGTGTGATTATTGTGAATAGTATTATTAGTACTAATTTTTATGTTGAAATGGTAGTAATGATTGTAACACTACAATAGTTTTGGACAAAATATATCGGTTAAACATCACGAGATATCTAAATGTTTCACATTAATCAAAATGTCAGAAAATATTGGAACTAATCAACTATAAAAATTCATTTATGTTTTTACGTAAATTAAGAAGTAGAATATTATCCAGTTCCACATTCATAAAGAAACGTTTAGTTTTGATCTATTGGGAGGCAGGTATTTAACAAACTAATAAGTTTATTCTAAACATAATTAATTTTAGAAGTAAACTTTATGTTTAAGGTAATTGCATCATATTGAATCGTATTCTAAATATTGAAATGATATGTTGAAATTTGATGACGATGATTTGGATGATGATGATGATGATGATGATGATTTGGATGATGATGATGATGATGATGATGATGATGATGATGATGATGATTTGGATGATGATGATGATTTGGATGATGATGATGATGATTTGGATGATGATGATGATGATGATGATGATGATTTGGATGATGATGATGATTTGGATGATGATGATGATGTTGATGATTTGGATGATAATGATGATAATGATGATGATGATGATGATGATGAGTTAATAGTCACAAAGCATATGTATTTTTTTATTATGTTGAATCTACGTTTTGAGTTATAAGTCATTGTTGGAAACCTGTGAGATGTGAAATATCGAATTATAACTTTTTAACTAAATGTTTACATAGGTCTTTTTTTAACCATCTTTAAAGATATTTTTTGTAAATTGCAAATCTAAATCTAATGATAGGTTTTTCTTTTCAAAATTTCTGTTGTAGTTTGAAACAAAGATTGAGGATATTTTCTTGTGAAAGAACTTTCCCATTTCTCAAGGACATTAGTGTTTGGAATGTGTAATTACCTGGTGAAATTGGCACTTTGAATTTCTGATATTGTAACTTGTGTTTACTAAGTATATTGTTGATTATCTGTTGTGCTATTGGAATTTAATCGAATTAGTTGATTGATCAGTTCATTAAATGAAATGCAGGAAATATTAGTAAATTGAAACTGCTTTAATTCGTTTTCTGTGTGTATTGAAGTCTTTATTAGTTACTCATACTGTTTTCCTTGTGATCAGATATATGAGTATTTGATACGGTATAACAATTTGTACAATAAGACGAATGATCATCCATCAGAATACATAACATGAATCGAAAAGTCTATATTTAACGTTAGTCATGAAAACCAATAAAATCTTTGGATTAGTCAGTTAAGGTAGGAAACGATTGCATCAACATACCTAGAAACATTCATGAGAATTATTCATAAAATCGAACAGAGCAATGTATGATGCTGAAATCAGATAACAATTAAGAATACAATCAGGTATACATAAACAAAATACTACGATCAATAATCATATTTGTTAATTATTTATAGGGATATCATTACCAGATCTGTAGTGGTAAAGAGACTACACCATATTGACAGAATCTAAAAACCGTTCAACAAAATGAGAATGTTGATATATATATCGTTCGCTGAAAAACATTCACGATCATACGTGAATTAAGTTCATAAGCACAAATTGGAATTTTAAAATATGTTGTTAAATTGCCTGCAAAATCGTTCGAACAAATGGACTCACAAAGCAACATTTGATTCATACAGAAATCCATCAATACAAGCAGTCGTCACACATAAATTATGACCTAGTTACATGAAGATTACAACGAATATTTTCTCAAAAGAAAGATAAAAACCCGGCAAATCGAAAGACTAAATGGCGGCCTGCTTAAGCATCTGGGCTACCTGTTCCTACCATCTAAATATTTCAACAAGTTATCTATTTTTGTTTGTTTTAATATATCATTATGTTTATTAATCGCATAACCTATTGTGCTGCGTTTCTGAAAAGTGTACAACTCTTCGTTGTCAAAGTTACAAAAACCTCAATAAGAGAGAATGTCGTTGCTGGCAATATACAACGAAAAGAATGTACATTATTCAGATGTTCATTTACTGAACTGCTAATATCTAACTGGCGATCCCTCAATATTTATCGTCAGGACCGATCAAGAAGAAAGAAACGGAATCTTGTTGAAATAAATTGTGTTGAGAATTCTATATTGTACCAAAAATATAATATTGAACAAAGCTTATAATAATAAAGAAAATAAAGACGTTTATTTCGTCATTTAGAAAA